TATATATATATATATATATATATATATATATATATATATATATATTTAAAAAAGGGTCAAACTAGCGAATATTACACATTTCTAATCCAAATAAAAATAGTTTAACAAACTCACCTATATTTCGTCTACGGTATACGTGCTGTGGAAAATAGAAACACAATAAAGGTGTCAAATCATCGGTACACAGATCCCCAACTGTAGGATTCAATGATGAATTCAGAGGTAGTGGCAGGAAATATAAAATATCAATATATAAAGTCCTACAATCCAATAACAGCTACATAGATTTATTCATAAATACTCCATAGCATGAAACTGTTAACGTTTGTTGTTGGGTGTATTTACGATTTATAAATGGAATGAGAAGATAAAATGTTGCATTCAAGTTGTATACGATAAGACAAAATATGGAAAGAAAACTAGATTTTATGCAGAAATCAATATATTATTCAGTGTTTTTTAGCTTTTTCATCATCGTTGTATTGATTGGCTATACTGCAACACAACACATTCATCATGGAAACAATAAACGTTTTTTTAAACTGCATTAAGAACTCAAGTAAAAATAGTTTATATTTGAACGAACCCAGTTTTCAATATCTAAAGATTCATTTGATGTAAATACAATTGATATTTCAGAATTTGTGATTTATTAATATTGCGTCACATATTCCTAGAGGCCATCCTATAACTACAATACTACCAGCAACAATTATAGTTAAAATCAAACAAACAACATGTTTCATTGTATATTGTTAACAATAAATTAAGACTGTGACTGGGAGAGAGGCGATGGCTCAATAGTTAAACTAAAATATATGTATGAACGGATTGTTACAAATTAGCCCGATTTTTCGAATCACGTACTGTTGAATTAGCATTGATCTTGTTACGCATAATCACCGGGTATCAACAAACATGTTAATTACATGTTTTTCACCTTCACATATTAGACAGACGCATTATTTAATTACGGATATCTAATCTCACTTACAAATTGCGTATTTTAAAGGGCGATAGTCGTCGCGCCACGCATGCGCGAGATATATAAACACAGACTTTGACGGTTGCGCAGATCAACGAGTACAAACTGAGATGTTACGAAGCTTTAATTAAGTATTTTTTTAGGTGATTGGAAGGCATCGAAAGAGTCACCGGCGGTAATTAGTGCAAGTCGCGTCCAGGTAAAATCTCGTACTTGTGATTTCCATTAGAAGAGCGCATTGGATTGTGGAAAAATCAATGTATATCAACACAAAAAATCGCACATGCGCAGCGCGACGATGACCGCACTATAAAATACCGTCTCCTTTTTCATATACATAGTACTCAACTCAGTACCGCCTGTCAATACGTCATCAAGTATTTGCACTTCAATTGGTTTCAGAACTCAAACAACATACCGTTGGTTATCTCACTTTTCCATGCCACACTGACATCTCTATACACACAATAACTCCCAATAAATTGGGATTGCTTGACATGCCGTTCAACTGCAGCCTTTCGTAAACCAATATACACATATATTGTCAGTTCATCTTAATCAGTGATTAGTATTAATTAAAACTGAATATTTATTTACCATTTCTTTTCTTTTGAGGCTTGCGGATGACACCGTGTGCATGTATGTAAGAGCCACGACGACCCAAAGCCGTCGTAACTGCAGCATTTTCTGTAAAATAAAATAAAAATAAGAACAAATTCTGGAATTTGAATATAAGAAAAATATCCATGGATTAGTTAAATTCGAGTCTGTGTGGGTTAATTTCTACGGTAACAACCTTGTCTCGTTTACCTACGTGACATGTTCCGCCGTATTGACTAACATTTAAGTAAAATAAACACAAAATACTTGATTTGATGACAATAAATGACGTTCCATACCCGAGGCTGCTTCGCTGTGACAATCAGCTATATTTAGGATCCTGTAATTTGGGAAATTATCGGAACATACACTGTATTATGCAACGATTTGATGGAAACGTCCAGCTACACTGTCAACAATACTGATTCCAATATTCAATTTTGATTGAAGCCACTCACATGCCGACAAGCTGCGGTCGGGGGATTAGTTATCCTCTTAATATGTCACACAGCGCTGTGTTTTCATCAATCCCGAACTTAAGGGGTTGCGTGTCAGAATTTACGATTATGAAGGACAGTCAAGGGTGTCACTAGTATGCCCAAATGTAATTTTATACCCACACGTACATTGAAATTGCAAAGCACGGGCGATGATGCATACCGCATAAGGATCGTCGAAATTGAAGATGTGACGTTTTCATCTTAGCACATGATGATCTGACAGCTAAGCCCTGATAACTCTCCAGTTCGTGTTTGTTTAGCAGACACTATAATAGTTCTCCTGCAAAACCGTTAATCAAATTTAAGGCATAAGTAGTTTTGGGAAGAAACAGCTGTTGCTACGCTACTGTTATTTTGTCTACGTATGACCACAAATAACACTGCCAAGTTTCATTTAAACGAACAAAGGCAATGATTTATGCTGAGATTGCTATATATATGCATTCTAATACACGTTTGACGTGTTTAAGGATTTACAGCGATTTCCGTAATGGATTGTTACTTTCCTTTATATATTCGTATATGTGTTACTTATGTTTGTCAGCTTAGTGTAGCATGTGTGTCACAATGTTATTGTTATCTACTTTTTTAATTTTATTCTCATCAGTATGTGCCAAGCGAGTGTAGCAGTTTTTGAAATAAACTAATAATTGGTACAGCAAGATTAAAAGGGTTGAATGTACTATCTAATAGTTTTTTTGTTTTTTTTTTTAATTAAATAAAAGACATGGGTTTGAGTGATTGCAATGAAAAATAACGCCCACGTATTGAAATCATTCTGCGACAAGGCCTCCTCTTTGTCACAGAAGGTGACATGCGTACGCATTACCCCCACACTGTGCAGTGCCTATTCGAATAACGGTGACATTTACAGAATTGAATTTAACACGGACACTCTGTGATATTCATCTATATTTCACTGTATTTCAAGCTGGAGAGTGTGCACTATAAATAGATAACGTGAGCCTGCCTTTTTTAAGTATAAAATCACCAGTAACCTGTGTTTTTGTAGCGTGCGTGCGTGTTTGCTGCAGCACACCAATACATCTTGTTTAATGTTCAAAATATATAGTTACTTGTGTATGAATATTGCAAACCAAACATAATTATGACTTGGCTTTTTCATGTACCTCCCATCCCCAACACAAATCAAAATGAAAAATAAAATTTAAATTTACAAACATGATTTTAAAAATATGGTTTCCAAAATGCTTCATTATATGATACTTGTACGCAGCTGGTTTGTCGCGTGATTCACTAAGGATCTGGTTTGTGGGTTTCTATCAGGGGTAAAATCTCTCTCTCGGGGTTCTCCACACTTTCAGGGGGGAAACTCGTCT